TTTTTGGCCATCATCAATGTTTTTTCGAAACTCCAAAGGAAAAATGCCATCAGTTCCACTTATTTTGAAGGAAAATTAGTCAACACACTAATACCTCATCAACTGGTTTCAATCAACAACCCATTTCATTTTGCAGAAACAAAAATTCCATCCATACAAATTCAGAATATGTCAAGCGCTAAAACCAGGCGATGACGAAAGGCGCAAGACATTCTGTGAGTGGTATACCAGGAAATGTTAAAATTTTGCAGATTTCTTTCGAACAATCATCTGGACTGATGAAAGCATGGTCACTAATCATGGTAGCTTCGATAGAAAAAATACACATTATTGTTCACGAGAAAATGAACATTTATACATTACACCGAGACACCAACACCGTTTCGGCTTTAATATGTGGGTTGCAATATTTGGTACACGAATTATTGTTCCTTCTATTTACCATGAAACACAGACTTCCGAACGTTATAGAAATTCGCTTGAGAATCATCTTGAGGAAGCTCTGGATGATTTACCGATTGCGGAAGTTCAGAACTCTGTTGGTTTCAACAAGATGGCGCTCCGGTACATAATTCCAGAGAAGTCCGTGCGTTTTTATCCCTTGGCCGGCGCGGTCGCCTGATTTGACACAGCTGGATTTTTTCTTAGGGGATATATCGAACTTTGTACACGCAAATAACTTTGAGGATGAAGAAGAACTAAAGGACAGTGTCTTCGAAGCATTCAATATAATAACCCCAGAAATGCTTAGCAATGTCTTAGAAACAACTGTGAGAAGAGGATATCTTTGTTCAGAAAATAATGGTTATCATTTTGAACATTTGTTATGAATGTCTCTGTAGGTATTGTCAAAGTTAAGTTGTTAAAGTAATTCGTGTAAGAATTCATCAACAATTTTAAACGCTGCATTGATCGAATGATGTAGTGAAATATTTTTTATTCACTTTTCAGTATTGAATAACCAATCCATCAAGTTTGAAACTAAATGATAAGAAATAAGTTGAACTGATGGCTTTTTTTTTTTGGAAGTTCGAAAAAACATTGATGATGGATAGAAATAGGTCGAAACACATTCGAATCACCTTGTATAGTACATGGTTGAATTCAGAATAAAAAAACCTTTCAGAATCTGTAAAAAAAACTATCAGGACCGTATTTAAAAAACAAAAGTTGATGATGGTTCCACGAATACGAAACGTCGCATAACAAAATCGGTATCACCACGTTAAACCTCATCAAAAGTTGCAATGAAAAAGTATTTTCAGTTTTTCTGTATCTCTGATGATAACTGAGAAAAAAAATAAAATAGAAATTCCAAAAATTCATTTCTTTCGATATAACTCAAAAACTAAAAATAATTTTCAAAATTTTCGAAGGCTCTTGATATGAGCCTCCGAATGCGCAACTTTTTCCCCATTTAAGCGACTTCGTATCTCCTACCGTTTCCGAGATCCCCATGCTGTTCAACCTTATCTTGGACAGACTGTATAACTATGAATGAAAATCTCAACAAGTTCAAGAATGATCTCAAAAATTTTCTCATTCAGGGTTGTTTTTACAATACCTCTGAGTTTTTCAATGCAAATCGCTACCTGTTCTGTGTGAAATGTATTATACTCTTTTATCTATTTTTTTGTTATATGTATCAACGTTGATTTATTTGACCTGTCCAATATTACTTTGTAATCTGAAGGATTTATAAATTATTATTATTATTATTATTATTATTATGACACTTTTTAGTGACCGCCCCCCCTCCGATGGCGGGGTACGTGACTCCAATGCAGCCGCCTCCGCAGATGGGAGGCCCGCCGCCTATGAACGTGCAGCAGATGAAACATCCGAACGACGGGCCCGCGGACGAGGAACCGAGCAACAAGAAGTTGCGGAACGAGGACTCGCTGGTGCCCGAAGAGGTCTTCATGTCAAGGAATCCGGTGAGTGGGAGTGACAATTTTATATATCAAGGGAGCAAATGTATCCATTTCCTCCCGCGTGTGAAGTTTTCATAAATTACTCTTTTCTGTCTCCTGTTACATTAGCTCCATATGAAATTAGGTACTTCTGCAACACAAGTATATGATGAAAATAAGATATTTTATGACCTCATAAGGATTATCTTAGTGTTCCACTAGGTGGGGATATAGTTTATAATGCTAAAACCTCAATAACCTCGAAAAATCTTTTTTTCGGATGTCCTACTGTTGCTCTGAGGCGACGATATGTGAATGAGATACCATTGGAAATATATTTGTAACTAATATTCAATGGAAATCTGTACATTTTACTTCATTCAATTAATAATAGTTATTTATTATACAAGGGAAAAAGTAGTAAATTTTAGCTCCAGGTTGTGTTGTCTCCCGACGCGAGGCGGAGGGAGACAAAAAACCGTGAGCTAAAATCCAATTTTTCCAATATTCGTAACCGCGAAGTCGAATGGAAGATGATAAGAGGACTTGCACTCCTTTCTCGGAGACGGTTTTGTTGACTCATTTTTCGGAACTATATCACAACAAAAGTCATCAACAGTGTATATACATGTGATATACAGGGTATGTCACGACGAGCTTACACTATCTCTATATCGAGAATCAGTCGGGAGAAATACATGAAAATATGCATGCTTATATTTTACAATACGTTCTCTTCATTTTAAATAATTTCAGCAATGCAGTATTGCCGCTTCAATCAAAAAGTAGTAACAACTTTGTTATTTTAAGTAGACTACCCTGTATTTTATTCCATTTTTGGATTCTCCCTAAAGAGCTGATTTCAACGATATATCACAGTTAGGGTTTATCGGAAATGATTACAGAGATATAGGGTGTTCATAATCGAGATTTTTCAACTTTTGGATTTGTTTGTGTCGAAACTTTTCATTTTCGGCCAAAACGGTTCACATGTCTCTATCTCAACTTTTGATTTACTATTTACTTATATTTAATCGGAACAGACACAGGTTGATCAGAGTTCTGAATCTTGAACCACCCTGTATCTATTCCGATTAAATATGAATAAATAGTGAATCAAAAGTTGAGATAGGGACATGTGAGCCGTTTCGACCAATAATGAATAGTTTCGACAGAAAAAAATCCTCAAGTTGAAAAATCTCGATTTTGAACACCCTATATCTCTGTTATCTTTTACGATAGACCCAAAGTGTGATACATCGATGAAATCAGCTCTTCAGGAAGAATCTGGAAATGCGATAAAATACAGGGTGTTCCATTTGAAATATCAATGTTGCTACTACTTTCTAGTAGAAGCGGCAACACTGCATCGTCGAAAATATTCTAAATGAAAAGAGCGTATTCTGAGATATAAGCATGCACATTTTCATGGATTTCTCGCGATTGATTCTCGATATAAAGATAGTGTAAGCTCGTCGTGACATACCCTGTATATCCGGGAAAAAAGTACTCACTTTTTTTCCATGGAAAAAAAGTAATTTATGAAAAGTGACATTTCATAACCTGCCAACAGAGATGAAATGCCAAACTTTTTTCCCGTCACAGAAAAAATAATTGAGTAAATCATGTATACAGGGTGTTTCAAAAAAACCTGACCCCCTTGCTAGGGTAGGTAGAACACTGCAAAATAAGTTGGGTTTGCTCAGTGAAAAAATGTCGTAACGACATCCGTTTTCATGATACAAGGTGTTGAAAAAACTATTTTTTCACACATTTTTCACGATAATGTCGAAACTACTGGCAACATTGTGATGAAATTTTGTACGGATGTTTTTTGAAATCGGACACATCGCATGAATTCGTTTTAATATCTGACTTTCACGGAGGGCGCTAGTTACACGGTTCGTACCGAGTAGTTAAGAACATAACTTTTTTTAGGTTAGATTTTTCAATCCAAATATGATATGAGCTTGAACATCATTCAATTTTACACCAAAAAGTACTCTTGGTGAAATTCGATACTATGTTCCGTTTTCGGAATATTTCGATTTGAAAATAATGGAGTAGTAATGATGCTGGTATAAAATGAATTTTATTGAGTTCAATTACCTATTTATTCATATTCAAAAACAATAAAATTATTCTTGTCCTGAAGTTAGCGATGGAGCAAAGAATCATGAGTACAAAATTAAGAGATACTTATTTGACTAGAAACATAAAATATTGAATTAGTTAGAGTAAGTGTTCAAAATGTCCTACGTTTCGAAGAATTCACGATTCTACATTCTTTTCTTAAGAATGTTTTTTCCTTCAAAACAGTTGAGGATCAGCTGTTAGGTCATTTAAGTGATGTTCAATTATGGCTTACAACTCTAGACGTGAATTTACCTATGTAGCATATACTTTCTGCTCAAGATACAACAAAACTGTGTAATCCATGTTCTTAGTCAGATCTGTTTCGATGTTATTATTGTGATTCATTGTTGAATCATTGAGTTTAGCATCAGAAATGTATTGTTGTTTTCGATTTTCAATAAAAAGCTGATAATTTTTCATAATACTCACTCTAATACATAGCTTTATACCATCAGCAACAGTTATTACTTCATCATTTTCAAATCGAAATATTCCGAAAACGGAACACAGTATCGAATTTTACCAAGAGTACCTTTTTGGTGTGAAATTGAATGATGTTCAAGTTTACATCAAATATGGATTGAAAAATCTAACCTCAAAAAAGTTATGTTCAAAACTACTCGATACGAACCGTGTAACTAGCGCCCTCTATGGGAGTCAGGTATAAAAAACAAATGCATGCGATGTGTCAGATTCCAAGAAACATCCATACAAAATTTCATCACAATGTTGCCAGTAGTTTCGACATAATCTTGAAAAATGTGTAAAAAAATCAGTTTTTCAACACCTTGTATCTTGATAACAGATGCCGTTACGAAATTTTCTTACTGGGCAAACCCAACTTATTTTACAGTGTTCTACCTATCCTAGTAAGGGGGTCAGGATTTTTTGAAACACCCTGTATAGCAAAACAATGTTTGTGGGGTCAGCTAGTAATTTTTGCTGTTCCAGGGTCCGGTGTCCGTGAAGGTCGCCATTCCGCACATGCCGGAAAAGTCCGAATGGAAGCTGGTCGGCCAAATGTTCAACTTGACTTTGCCTCTGTCGGAGAGTGTCGGCAACTTGAAGGCCAGAGTGCAAGAGGAGACCAACATGCCGCCGGCCAAACAGAAGTTGTTCTTCGACGTGAGTATTTTTTCACCAGGCTATAAAAACATTTTCCTCCGATTGGTAGCAAATATTAATTTTGCTGACACATATCAATCAGCAAAGTATTACTTTTCCTGCCTAGGCAGCAAAGTACCCCCACTTTGCTGATTGATATGTATCAGCAAAATTAATAATCCATAAATCGTTTATAATTTCCTTCATATTTCATCCGGCAACAAATTCAACTCTATATTTTTTGCCACCTCCCTTATTTCTGGAGGTGTAAGTACTTCCAGGTCGCTATCAATGTCCATTATATAATAATTTAAATATACCGATATTTTTTCGCACAACTGTCAGAAATTTTATGAATTGTCAAACTATAATTATTTTGGACATTTCCATAGCAACCCCAACCATTCCAACAACTGCGATTTCTATCAAATTTAATTTGAATTAAACACTACAGGAAAAATAAAGAGATATATATCATAATAAACAATCGGAGAAAAAATTATATGTTCAACTCGGCAGCAAAGTAGATTGCCTGCCTAAGCTGGATTCCTAGCTTCGCTACGCTCGGCTATGAATTCAGCCTCGACAGTCAATCTACTACTCTGCTGCCTAGTTAAACAAATAACTATTCTCATCAACGTGACAATACAGACAAACCTTCATTTGTATTCAATGTTGGAAAACTTTTCAAGTTTGACATAAATTTTGATTGGTTTAAAGCGCTTTCATCTTTGTTGTTATCTTCAATTGATTTTGCCAGAATTTCTGAAGAAACGTTTTATACAGGATAAAATTTGAAAATTACGTTTTGTGCGAGTTTTTTGAACACTGTACAGGCTGTCCCATTTTCGATGTTATATGTTTTTTCAAATGAAGCACCCTGTATATTTTTTCATATTTGAAATATTGATGCTTTGGGCTTTTCAAAAATATATACTACAGTGTGTCCCACTTACCATGCTCACCATGGGCATCTTTTTAACGGTGCGAGATACGAGGTCGGTTAAATGACACCAAATGTGGAGTTTGTCAAGGCCAACTATTATGTGAAAAAATATTTTGATAAAATCTATTCGTTTTTGTTTTATACGCGAAAAACAGATTTTGATCATTTTCATGTCTCCTCCGTAACTTCTTCATTTATGAAAATATTCAAATAGGAATTTCACATTCTCATGGCAGTTATTCTAAGTGATTTCGAAAAAAATATGAAATTCATACCAACTCTTCTAGAATTTGAGATACCAGCCGAGTGTCAGCACCAACTTTAGTTTTTCAAATGTAGGTCATAGCTCACTATGAATTAGTTACAAATAACTTTATTTAGTTATCGTCATTTATACAAAAATAAAAAATTATTTGGAAGCTGCCATCTTGAATTTATAAATTTTAACAAAAAAAATCATGATCTCCGACCTCAAAAACCCCCACCCGGACCAAATCTTGTCCGCCATCTTGGAGCAGCCATTTTTTTTAATTTCAAAAAAAAATCCATAACTCAGATTAACTTGAAATTTGGTAGGTGTTCATAATTTCGGTGACAATACATTATGGAACTTTTGTTGAAATTAAAAAAAAATGGCTGCTCCAAGATGGCGGACAAGATTTGGTCCGATTCCATTCAAAATTGGTAAGTGGGGGTTTTTGAGATCGGAGATCATGATTTCTCAGTTGAAATTTATAAATTCAAGATGGCGGCTTCCAAATAATTTTTTGTTTTTGTATAAATGACGATAACTCCGTTGTTATCAACACAAAACTATTACTGCGACATATCATCTGTGAGGGAGAAAAAGTTATTTGTAACTAAGTCATAGTGAGCTATGACCTACATTTGAAAAACTAAAGTTGGTGCTGATATCTCAAATTCTAGAAGAGTTGGTATAAATTTCATATTTTTTTCAAAATCACCTTGAAAAACTGCCATGAGAATGTGAAATTCCTATTTGAATATTTTCATAAATAAAGAAGTTATGGAGGAGACATGAAAATGATCAAAATCTGTTTTTGCGTATAAAACAAAAACGAATAGATTTTATCAAAATTGTTTTTCACATAATAGTTGGCCTTGACAAACTCCACATTTGGTGTCATTTAACCGACCTCGTATCTCTCACCGTTAAAAAGATACCCATGGTGAGCATGGTAGTAAGTGGGACACACTGTATAAACCATATTTTGAGTATTAGCGTTGAATTTAGATCATTTTTTTTTGTATATTCCCTATTGATCTGCCTTGTAATCGTGTGGCAATATTTGTAATATTTTAATTTCATGAATTTTCATATTCACACTCCTGCTGACAGAGTGTTTCGTCACACACTAGTTTAAATTTTACCAACATTCATTATACATTATGGTGGAAATGTATGGAATAAATTCATTATCTCTAACGCATGAAGACAAATCCTGAGACAGGTCGATTTTTGTTGACACCTCTTGATATACAGGGTGAGTCATTAGTGTGGCAAAGTTAGATAACTGCTTTACTATTTGAGATACATGAATAAAAATTTCAGAGATGATCTAGGATCATGAGCAGCACATATCCAAATCATTTCGCTTTATACAGGGTAGTTCAGAAATGCGTGGCGTATTAAAGTTATACTTTTTCTTATGGGACACCCTGTATTTCATTGTATTTTCGCATTCTTCTTTGTGAGCTGATTTCATCATTGCATCACACTTGGGGGTCTAGCGAGAATGATTACAGAGATATAGGGTGTTCAAAATCCAGATTTTTCAACTTTAGGATTTTTTTGCGTCGAAACTATTCATTATTGGTCAAAACGGCTTTCATGTCCCTATCCCAACTTTTGATTTACTATCTACTGATATTTAATTGGAACAGATACAAAAGTGATCAGAATGTTGAATTTTGAACCACCCTGTATTTGTTCCAATTGAATGTCAGTAGATAGTAAATCAAAAGTTGGGATAGGGACATGAAAGCCGTTTTGACCAATAATGAATAGTTTCGACGAAAAAAAAAAACTGGATTTTGAACACCCTATATCTCTGTAATCATTCTCGCTAGACCCCAAGTGTGATGCATTGATGAAATCAGCTCACAAAGGATAATGCGAAAATGCAATGAAATACAGGGTATCCCATAAAAAAAGTATAACTTTGATACGCCACGCATTTCTGGGTCGCCCTGTATAAAGCGAAATAATTTGAAAATGTGCTGCTCATGATCCTAGATCATCTCTGGAACTTCTGTCTATCCATCTCAAACTGTAAGGCCGTTATCTCACTTTGCCACACTAATGACTCACCCTGTACATACGGAGTTTGTAATGTCATCCACTTAGTTGTGGTGACGTCATCGATTATTTTTCTCAATGGAAACATCCCTTTTTTTCCGGAAGGTATATTCATTGTCTATCCAACCATATACTGATATCAGCAAAATAAAGTAATACAGGGTGAGAAAAAATTATTACTTATTTTTACAACGGAAACCGTTACAATAAATGTTTGAATTGGTGACCTTCTGCAATGATACAATGTGATTGACGATATACATTGTTTCTGATGTATACAGGTTGACTTTTTCATTTATTGTAAGTGTTTCTGTTGTAAATATAAAATAATTAATGAATTTTTCTCACCCTGTATTACTTCATTTTGGTAATATCAGTATATGGTTGGATAGACAATGAATATACCTTCCGAAAATAAAAATGAAAAAGGGATGTTTCCATTTAAAAAAATAATCGATGACGTCACCACAACTACGCGGATGACGTTACAAACTCCGTATGTACAGTGTCATTCATAAAGTCGGCATCATATGAGAAAAACTTTTATTAATGACTCATTTTGAAATTCGAGTTGGACGTCAAGTTTTGCTTCAAAAAATATGAAAAATGGCCTACTCAAGGTCACGTGACTTTCGCTACATGTCAAAAGTGACATTTCTTCAAATTAATCGCTGAAAGTGGGCTTATTTGTTCGAATAACGAAAAAGTTTACTTGAAAAAGTTGTTTCTATTTCAATTTTACATATGTGACTCGGATTTTATCTTTCTATTACATTTTTTAGATTTCGATATTTTTTAAAAAATTTCGAAATTTCTGTAATATTAAAAAAATTGTAAATTCGATAAAACTACTTCATACCAGTAGCTTCATCATGTTACTAACTTTCAATTACTAATTATCACTAATTATCAACAAAAATATGATTTTCTTCAGAAAATGATAATCTCCTCTTCAAAATTCTGTTATGTTTGATGCAAACATAACATCAAAATTCTGTTATGTTTTGGTCAAGCATTTAGAAACGAAATTCATTTAAATTCATTTTGTCAGTACTGAAAAGATCAGTTTAAATGAATTTCGTTTCTAAATGCTTGACGATATATCAACTTTGCATCAAAAATAACAGAATTTGGAAGCGGGTATTATCATTTTCTGAAGAAAATCATATTTCTGTCCATAATCAGTGATAATAAGTAATTGAAAGTGAGTAGCATGAAAAAGCTACTGGTATGAAGTAGTTTCGTGAAATTAACAATTCTTCAAATATTACAGAAATTTCGAAAAATTAAAAAAAAAATCTAAAAGTTGCAATAGAAAGATCAAATTCGGAAAGCATGTGTAAAATTGAAATAGAAACAACTTTTTCAAGTAAACTTTTTCGATATTCGAACAAATAAGCCTACTTTCAGCGATTAATTTGAAAAAAATTCACTTTTGACATGTAGCGAAAGTCACGTGACCCCGATTAAGTAGGCCATTTTTTATCTTTTCTGAAGCAAAACTCAACGTACAACTCGAATTCCAAAATTAGTCATCAATAAAAGTTTTTCCCATATGATGCCGACTGTATGGTGTGTATCAAAATGAGATTTGGTATTGGTAAATGGTATGTGAAGAGGAGAGTTTTCACATATTTTTCACTTTCCGGTCACTTCTGGTTTCACCGGATATGGCTCCGGTTCTAAATTTTTGAACGGAACATCCTGTATATTGTAACATTTTTGGATTTCTGAGACAATTCTAGATCAGAATATGACATTTTCTAAAGTTTGTATGTCTACTTAATTTGTTCGGAGTCACTTTTGAAATTACATCTAGATGGCCATGATCGGAAGTAAACTAATCTAAGGACCTCAGGTGATATCAGAAAATTACAATCGCGAAGTTTTAGTGACAAGTATGATAGATATGAATAAGACAAGTTGTCAAAATGGGCGTGTACACCTTAGTAGAACTTTCAACTCAAACCATGTTTATAATGATCCTTTTATACATAAATAATGATTGACGACATCATTCGATCGAAAAATTAACTGGAATGTTTTATTTTTGGACATAAATGATAGTACCTTCTGAAAACGGAGACCCTCTTATGACGTAGAAACCCCATCTCGCCATATATATATATATAAACCATATTTATATATCTACTACTGATATATGAATCATAGCTCTCCTCAAAGCGGGACCCATTTCTGTCTCTATAGGTAATGAAATCGACCAATAGGCGTTGATACCGACGTAGGGAAAAAATAATAGGAAATTTGTCAAACCAACATAGCTGTTTCCATCCTTCACTTTTCGTTCTCATAGATTCAAAGAGAACCTCTCATTTTGGTCCCATTTTTGTTGAGATATCGTATAGGCGATGCGCCATATATAGAAATAGTAGATATATGGTTGAAACTGACACTCTCCTGACACTTATTACTGTTGCCATATCATCTAAACAAAATATCCGAGAAATCGAAATCGATACTGAAATATCTTTTGATATCCACTACCACTACTGCAGAAAAATATATTCGAGTTGTCGATTGTAGGTTTAATCATTGGAGTATAAACAATCTCTAGACAACGAAATGTCTCAATCTCAAAACCATTTGTACCATTACAATTTCACAATAATCCAATATATTTCATAAACATAGCAACATTGCTTTGTTGACCAGTTTCACATGGAGCTGCAAAAAGTCAATCTAGGTTAGAATTGATTTGTCAGAAAGCATGTATCATTCATCTCTGTCTGGAATAGTCTTGTTTCAGTATTAGGGTTTTGACGTCACATCATCGCCTCGTTTTCAGAGGTCCGGAAAATCGGGGATTTCAATAATTTTTTATAAAACGTAGGGAGCTCACAGCAAGAAACGGTTTACGGTGGTGAGCTAGTTTGGGTGAGTTCTATCGAATTATGAAATAAAATTTTTTTGTGATATAAGCCCATTACATTTTCGTGTCTAACTATTATTTTCCAAATGGTGAGTTTTATTTGACAAGCACTTTCCGAAAAGAGGATATTTTGACGACTCTAACGATATTAATTCATTTGCGATTGGATTACAAATAAGAACATAACTTTTGTCAAGTGTGCCATGGATAATAATTCATTTACTTTTGTAAGCACTTCCCGAAAAAAGGATATTTTGACGAATCTAACGATACTAATTTATTCGCGATTGGATCGACAAATTTGTTGTTGATTTTGTTGGGCCCAGTACCAAGAATTTTGCTCATTAAACAAGCAATTATTTGTAAATCGTGATTCGTCGGAAAATAGAATGAAGTTAATAAAATTTGGGTTAACTCTATGATTTTGAAGCAACCAATCACAAAACACTACTCGTCTATCGCCATCGTCAGCATACAAATGTTGATGTAACTGAAATTAAAATGCTCGATATCCGTGCGTTTTCAATATTTTTCTTGCCGTTTTGTCAACCTCAACCATAGCTAGAACGTTAATCTCAGTCTCCTTATTTATGATAAACCTTTGTTCTGCCTCTCGATTTCCTTCTTGCCTGAAACGATTCTCAACATACGGGATGGATGTTGCCGATTGGGATATCTCTGAGCATACAACTCAGCAGCATTCCTTGAATTTCTTAGACATTCTCCAAACAATAACAACATAATCCACTTTTTCACTTTGAGTATACCTTATTTTGACGGAAAATTGCAGCTTATGTCACTGTCATAACTTACGTGAGTGTTTTGTTCTCCCAAGAAGACTTGATCGAAATAACTGCAAAATATTATGCATCATGCCTATCCTCGGCACACTTGACAAAAGTAAATAAATTATTATGAAGTGTTTTCGTCAGTAATCTTCAATTCATGTTCTTATTTGTAATCCAATCGCAAATAAATTAGTATCGTTAGATGTCAAAAAACGGTCGCCATTTGAAAAATAATAGTTAGACACAAAAATGTAATTTTGCCAACTTGTCTCATTCATTTCTATCAAACTTGTCACTAAAACTTCGCGATTGTAATTTTTTGATATCACCTAAGGTCCTTATATTAGTTTACTTCCGATCATGGCCACCTAGATGTAATTTCAAAAGTGACTCCGAACAAATTAAGTAGGCATACAAACTTTAGAAAATGTCACATTCTGATCTAGAATTGTCACAGAAATCCAAAAATGTTACAATATACAGGGTGTTCCATTTAAAAATTTAGAACCGGAGCCGTTTCCGTTGAAACCGGAAGTGACCGGAAAGTGAGAAATATGTGAAAACTCTCCTCTTCACATACCATTTATCTATACCAAATCTCATTTTGATACACCTCATGGAATGGTCTAGAAGTTATGACATTATAGGGATTCCCTTTCGTGCGCTCCAAGCGAAAAAAAAAAGAAAAAAAATAGATTCGTTGACACCCGGTATATGATGGCATCAATTTTGAAAATGCTATCTTGTAGGGAAGTAGTTTAAAGTGTTATTCATTTCAAATGAATTTTTCGAGTATGGACAAAAAAATGAATGTTTCATGAAATTTTGCTGAATCTAAGCAACATTTTGTTTGCTTGTATTCTCTCAAGAATGTTTCTGATTAGTTTTTATTTTTCAGGGAATGTTCTTCAAAGATTCAAACACATTGGGTTATTACAATGTAACTCAAGGGGCAATTATTCAACTGCAAATCAAGGAGAGAGGTGGAAGAAAAAAATAATTCAGTTTTGGAAAAATATTCATTTTATTCGTAATAATTATTAATGATTTTTAAATTCCAGAGGTGAACAGGAATGGAATCGTGTACAATCACAAAAATTTAACTGTTCATTTTTTTTTTGATTCTTTGAAATGTTTGAACTAAGTGTGCAAAAAAATTATATTGGAATTTCTTTCCTGAATTCTTTTGGATTTTCTTAAAAATTCACTTTGGAATTCCAATCATATTTAGAATATTTTTATTTCCTGGATATTTCTTGAAATTCTTCAAAAAATGGAATTCTTTGAAAATTTGTCAAAATTCTTCCAGTGAAATTTGTTTGAATTCCTTCAGGATTTCTCAAAGTTCTTCAAAACTTGTTTGTTTTTCCTTGAAATTTTGTTGCTTCTCTAAAAATTCCTTGACATTTCTTTGAATTTTCTCAATGTCTTCAAATTCCTTGATGAATTCTATGAAATGCCTCAAAAAATTCGGTGAAATTTCTTATTGTGACATTCCTTGGGGTTTCATTGGAATCTCGAGGAATTACCTTGATATTTCTTGAAATTCTAGTCCTTTGAAATTATTCAAAATTTCATCGAACTTCATTAGATTTCCTTTGATATTTCTTGAAATTTTCTGTAATTCTTCAGAAAAAATTCATCAAATTTCCTTGAGATTCTTGATCAAAATTCCCTAGAATTTCTCTGTTTGTCCTTGAAATCCTTTAGAATTTCATTGTATTTT